TTAGTCAAAAAGTCACTACCATCTTTAAAAAGAGCCGGAGGTAAGTCATCTGGGCCAGGTGATTTGTAACGCTTCAAGAGTTGGAGTTCCTTGCGGACTTCCGCCTCATTTGGTGGATCAGTCGTCACCGGCCATGGAGGGCAGGACAGTCTGACCGATGTTGCCGGAGCAGCAGGCCAGTTGAACTGCCCTTCGAAAAATTCTGCCCATCGTCCAAGACGTCGATGGATGTTAGTGATTGGCATCCCATCATCCTCGCAGATTGTTTCACTCACACCAGACTTCTTGCTGCCAGTGGCTCGGATGAGCTGGAAGAGCTTCCGCTAGCTACCAGATGCAGCTGCTGCTTCCAGCTCATTAGCACGCATCGACCACCAGGCTTCTCGGTCCTTACTCAAGCTTTGCCCAATTTCCTTACGTAACATCCTTCGTTTATGGTCAAACTCACGGTCACCCGGAGTAGACCGACGGGCTTCAATGAGTTGTAAGGAACCAGAAGAAACCCAGTGCTTATAAGCGGGACGTTTCGCAAACCCACAACTGACTGTTCCCGCCATTTTCATGGCGTCATGCAATTGCAACCAATGCACATCTATACTTTTCGGTGGAGTGGTAGCTGGCCTAGAAATTAGCTCGGTTCGATACTTACTTGCAACAGAAGTTGCAACCAGCTTGCTAACATCAATCCGTTGATGGTGTTCACTTCGTTGTCCACTGAAAAGTAAGGCAAGATTGGCGCAGACCAAGGCATGGTCAGAGTCCAGATAGGTACTCCAAAAGGAGCGGCAGTCTTGTACACAACCACGCCAGCGGTAGCTGATCGCGATGTGATCAATATGAGTCCAGGCTTCGGATGCAGAGGGAGGACGCCAGGTGGCACATCGGCGATGACTGTGCCGAAAGTTAGTGCTAGCCAGAAACAGGTTGTGGTCTGTGCAAAGTTGCAGTAGACGGTCCCCGTTATCTGACCTGCGACCAACGAGTCCCCATCGGCCACCTAAACGACTCTCTTCTGTGCCTAGACGCCCGACCTGAGCATTCAAGTCTCCGGCTAGTAGTACAATATCTGTCGAACGCACTTTCTGGAGAAGAACAGATAATTGGTGGTAAAACTCATCCTTGATTGCATCCGGGCTGCAATCTGTCGGGGCATAGGCGGAGATGGCGAAAAAACATCGTTTCTCACGCCGATTTCTTCTCACTTTGATGGAACTTTCTAATCTAACAGCAAATAACCGACTGTTAATGGGGATCCAGTCGATTAGTAATGCCTCAGCTCTAGCGTTCAGTGCGACACCAACGCCAGTAAGGCCAGGCGAAGATGCCACAAGGTCCCCGGATAAGCGCACGTAAAACAAGCTTTTCGAAGCGACAGATGGAGATCGAATTTGTAGTACTTCGCCAGAGTCTTGAATACGGGTCTCAAGTAGACAACACACGTCGATATTAAGACTTTCCAAAGACATAGCCAGCCCTATCTGTTGTCCGACCTGCATAAATGTGCGAACGTTGAAGGCAGCCAGTTTGAATGGTGCACGTGGTTTCAGAAAAACTGCTTCAGTCCTCGTATTCGGTGGTAACATACAATTTTCAACCGGACAGTGACTCGAGAACGTTTAGATACAGTCGGATTTCCACCAAAGACGAGGCGCTGTATAAGTATAAAAGAGGGTGAATAATGTCGAAAATAATAATAATGATGATAATAATAACAATACTGACAATAATAGTAGTAATAATAATATTAGTATTAATAATGACAATAATTGTAATGATAATAATCTGAATCAATTGTTTGTTTTTCAAAGCGAGAAAGGTCATTTCCATAGGCATAAAGAGTTCATCAATTTGTGTGTGGGCTGTGATACTGCCCGGGTGCCCAAACCGAAGCAGGTGGTTATCTTAAGGGGCCACTCCCCCGCCATTGCCTTCTCGTGGCGGGGGTATTGTTTACGAAAATGAGAGGACGAAAAGCGAATGTCCGGCGCTTTAACCGGATTCCAAATCAAGGTTGCACATGGGCTCCAGTATCCTGCGGGAACGAATGGCGTATGAACCAATCGTTGGTCACCGGCTACCATGGGACTGCATCTCCTTACGATGCTCCACTGCCTTGTGTGTTAGACCTTTAGGTCAAAGGCTCGGGGAGTGGCCCCCTAAGATAACCACCTGCTTCGGTTTGGGCACCCGGGCAGTATCACAGCCCACACACAAATTGATGAACTCTTTATGCCTATGGAAATGACCTTTCTCGCTTTGAAAAACAAACAATTGATTCAGATTATTATCATTACAATTATTGTCATTATTAATACTAATATTATTATTACTACTATTATTGTCAGTATTGTTATTATTATCATCATTATTATTATTTTCGACATTATTCACCCTCTTTTATACTTATACAGCGCCTCGTCTTTGGTGGAAATCCGACTGTATCTAAACGTTCTCGAGTCACTGTCCGGTTGAAAATTGTATGTTACCACCGAATACGAGGACTGAAGCAGTTTTTCTGAAACCACGTGCACCATTCAAACTGGCTGCCTTCAACGTTCGCACATTTATGCAGGTCGGACAACAGATAGGGCTGGCTATGTCTTTGGAAAGTCTTAATATCGACGTGTGTTGTCTATCCGAGACCCGTATTCTTATACTGGGAATTATTAAGTGGTGAGGCAGGGATTTGGTTGTTAAAAAGATGATCTCGAGTGATGAGGGGTATGAGGACAGTTGTCGATTCCCGGATTCCTACATCGTGGAAGGATATTCCTTGAGGTTTCTGAAAAGAAAGCTAGGTTATTGGTGGTCTTAGTGACGTATGAACGTATCCACAGAGCAAACGGGACAACTGTTGAAGGCTGGTCACGTACGAACTTTTCATGCGAGTTTTTTGAAGTGTTAGCTCCGCACCACAAAATGCCTTGCCGCCGGAAATAGAAATTCGTGAAAAGGAGTGAGGCATGACATTTTTAAGGTCAACCCTTTATAACGCCTTCTTTCCGTTGTGAGAAAACAGCATCGCTGCAGATGCTTATGTCCGAGGGAAACGCTGTACCGCTTTCAAACTTCTCTACAGTCAACAGTAAGACTTCGTCCACGTATCTTACATTGCTGCCTTTAGTCCGTTCTCCACCCGACCTGTCTGGTATGGTAAGACCTAAAGGTACATATGTTTCGGTCAGTATGGCTGGATTGAGTCATCACGAAAAGCAAGTTCGCCCACCACATTAATGCATCAGCTAAGGTTGTGAGGGACTAATAGAAGCCAGTCTAGTACAGCTTTCTTACACATGACGACACCATGTCATAAATGGATCACCTCTCCGCTTTTTCCAACCAATTCCAACGTAAGCAAACAATTTACGACGTGGAATTATCTGGGACGACATTCGTAAGACATGTCCAAGCCACTGAAGTCGATGTTTCAAGATAGAGACACCGATGGAATTATCGTCGTTGTATCCGAATACACGATGCAGAACCTCTGCATTACTAGCATGGTGTTGCTACTACATGTCAGCAATCCTTCAGAGACAAGGATAATCAAGCACAGAGAGTCATCTAACATCCTCAAATTGGAGAGGTCAAACCCCATAAGCATAGAGCCAAACTGCGCCTACTGATGCGTTGTAGATCCGACTCTTATAGACAGACTGACATCATGAAGGCACCGAAGATGGCCCAGATTGGTATAAGCCACTCTGGTTTTCACCATACATGGATTGATCTCATCACTCACGTCATCGCCAGCACTTACGCAGCTAACCAGATACACGAACTTATCGACTATTATTTACTCACTATTCAGCGTGAGTTCAGGGTCCTGCCAGTTTTGTAAGAGTACTTTGCACTTTAAAGGTGCAAAACACATGCCATACTTACGGACACTGACTGCCAACTAACTAGGTACGGATTCTATGGATTGAGTATCATCGCACAGTAAGACAACATCATCCACATACTCAAGGTCGAGAAGTCTTTCTCCAGGCAATGGAGCCAAAAACCCATTATCTACATCAATCAGAGCTCTTTCCAGAACATCATCGATAGGAAACTTGAAGAGGGACAGTAAGATTAGGTAACACTGTCTTGAATGAAGCAATGGGAAGAGGTAGCTATACACCCTCACTCTGCCTGAGGTGTTTATATATAGGGCTTTCAAGATGTTAGTAAACTTCTCAGGCACACTCTTTTTCAATAAACAATCCCAGGAAAGTCCTGAACAAAGGATCGAACTATCGACTCATTTCACAGTGTTGGAGCACTCTCTAATTTCCAAACTTTTGCAAACACTTCAGTCAGTTCCTTAACCCGGTCGCAAGTATCTGTAGGATGTAAGTTATCTAGGCCTGGTGATTTGTGGAGCGTCAACCAATAAGTTTCCATCGGCCACCTAAACAAATCTCTTCTGTGCCTAGACGCTAGATCTGAGCATTCAGGTCTCTGGCTAGTCCTACAGCATCGGTCGGACGCACTTTCTGCAGGACACTTAACTAGTGGCAAAATTCATTATTGGTCGCATCCAGGTCGGAATCTGTCCGAGACAAAGTGATGAAAAAAATACATCGTTCCTCACACCGATTTCTCACTTTTATGGGGCCTTTTATATCTGTCCTACCGGTTAATTGCTGCCAACAAGCATCTGTGAAATAGCCTTTCAATGATGACACTCTGTTGTCCACGAAACTAGATTTATGTAATTGCGTGATGCCTTTCTGTAGGTGATCTGGTATCAACACCAATATAGGTTTACAGTTTTGTGGTTGGAATATCGATCTCTTGCATGAATAGCTTTCACGAAATGATGTATGCATCTTCAAGTGAAACACTGCTTGGAGCTAAAGACGGAAAACTCAATATTTTTTCACCAAAATTTGCAATGAGTTTCCTAAGTATACCAGATGTTTAGACCACCACGAACGTAAAGCTGGTTTGCTGAATGACATTTCTGCCATCATATCGGAATTTTTTAGTTTTTATGCTACCATCATTAACAGGAGAGACGTGGAACTTCATGGACGGGAAACAAGTAGATAGTCGTCTTAAAGAGATCGCACATGACAATGAAGTGGTATTTTAACATCTTGGCCAAGACTTAAACACAATAGTAAAGCTAAAGCATTAAAGTAAAAAGTGAGTAGCATGTCACAGTGTTATATTCAGAGACTACCACGAACTTCTATTCTGCTTAGAACGTCGACATGAATGGTGCGAATTTAAAACAAAATTTAATAGTATTAGTATTACCCAGGTTTTACTTTTAAAAAGCAAACAGACTGGTCTGTATATTATAATACAAGAGGAAAACAAATACCGCTATCAGTACATTATTCTTCAACAAGAACCTTGTTTGGGACTAAGTTATAAGAATAGACAATCGAAACCATTTTATTATACCGTGATGTATGCTACTTATGTCTGTCGACATAAGTAGTATGTAACACAGGTCGGAAATGGAAAACCTGGCAGCAGAAAGCTAAGAAGATCAAGCTGAAGAGAACAGAAATGGAAATAGAAAAAATTGTGAATTGGAGGAATCATACAGAATGTGAACGATAAATGGTGGAAATTCACAAATGAAGTATTTAATGTATGGTTTTTACAACTATTAAATTACTAGATTTCCACAAAACCCCTCTCTGATTACCAAAAGAAGTCTGTTACCATTTGACCACATTGGATCATTTATTGATTTGTATTCTGTTTACTTATTTTAGAAATCCAAAACTGAACGTTACTTATCAAACACTCAAAATTAACCTATATAACAGAAGACTAGAACGAAAATCGATTAGGATATAAGTTGAATTGGATAAGCGGATAGAATTATTCAATCACCTTAAGCAACCATAGGTTGGACTTCTCTAATTATCTTGTATAGATCTACAACTTCCAACGCTCTTTTGTGTTTTTAGTCTATACGGAAGAGACTTTTGTGAATGTAACACTGTTATAACAAATCACAAGTAGATTGAGCTGTACTTACTAGATGATGGAGATTGTGGAATAGACTGACTTGGGTTGCTCGTTGGTGTTGTAATAGGATTTATGGAGGACGGATTAGATGCTTGACCTGGTATAGATGTGGACACACTAGGATGGTTTAGCAGCCCAGTAGGTTGTCCATTTGCAAGGCGCCAATGAAGCATAGCATCAGAAAGGATATCAGTCAGAAATTTTTGACCAGCTAGACTGATTAAACGGGCAAGTCGTGGGTCGCTGTTTTCCATTTGCACACCAGCACTCTCTAACATAGCAACCGATAATCTGTCCGGAATCTGGAAACCGACAGGGAATAAAAAAATGGTATATATAGGATGTTGGGAACCATAACCAGAATTATTCAGACAAAGTTGAAGAAATAAGGTCAACCAAGCTTATGAGCTTTAATGATATTACAATTGATGTAACTGTCTATTAACGATAGTACAAGGTATTAACTTTACCTAAAATGTTTTAACATCACACAGTCATAGCTGTTAGGTACAATAGAGTTCTAAAAAACCATTTACTTGACATTATTAGTGTGACGAGATTGTACATTTCCATTCATAAAAACACAAGTCGGATTTTATTAGTTATTATTTATTAATCTTATCATGAGATTTGCATATAAATACTAGCATTAACTGAAGCAACATACGATTTGGTTTCATCTAGAGTGTAGTTTTCAACCTAGAAAGTGAAAGTTATATGTATCACCATTAATTTTATGTCTAATAATATCTACTGAGCATCTAGTCAATAAACTAAAAAAAGCACGAAAACGAATGTTAAAATTGAGGTATTTTTGCCAATACTAATCTGATATGTGGCGAGAATAATAGATTATAACTGCATGGTGAAGACAGGACAAAGAGAATAATTTATATGTACAATTAATTTACATGAGAACGATACTTAACCCAAATATGTATGCAGCCGACAAGAAAAACATTTATAAACTACAATCATTGTTCTGAAAAGTTATTATAACGACCATGTGTAGAGAACAACTCATTTTCGTTTATAAAGAAAGCTTAAATTCGTTGAAGAAATTTCCCACATCTGTGTACAAAATTAATACACTTTGATTGAGACACATTGTTAATAAAAACCACTTACTGTAGATTGAATGTGGTCAAGCTGAGTCCATAAATTGCTAAGAAGCACACCACTAGTATTCTCAGAACCTGAAGATACAGGAATCGACGATGTCGTTAGGCTAGGCATCTGACAGCTATCTACAACAGATGTTATAGGAGTTTTTGGAGTCACAGTTCCAATAATCATGAAGATTTTCACCGGAATATGAGTCACAGTCAGAAAAAAATCTGAAAAACATAACCAAACCGCAAAGAATTAAGCATAAATTATGTACTGAAGAAGAACACTTTTTATAAATTAATAATCTAACTTAACTGAACCAGGAAATCAAATAAGAATAATTCTACAAGGATATTTCAATAAAGAGTATAAATGACAGATCGTATAGTTAAAATAGTACTGTACACTGCATATTATATAAATATCCAGCAGCATACATACATGCTGTTCTGGCTTTATAAATTTGTATTTCAAAGGTTGTAAATGATTTCATCTATACATTCACATTTATTTTATGAAGATGAAAAACAATAGTGTGGAACCGGGAGAGAAACTGCTATCCACCAGGCTACAGCACTTCACAAGAGCAAAAACAGAAAATGGGTCAAGTAAACTAGAATAAATTAGATATGAATAGGTAGATGGTATATTAAAAATACAGAACGCGTCTGTGTCTTAGTAACCAAAATTAGACAGTATTACCTCGGGATTATGACAAATACTTCTTATAAAACATGAACACCAAAAAAGCATATATATAAACATATATATAGCAGCAATTAATTACATGAATCAGTGTCACATTTCCACTTGATCAATTGAATAAGCTACTCTAATTTATCCCTATTGTGTGTTTAAAAGGTGGCAGCAACTGATCGGGAAATACATGTAATAATTCCAGAATGTTTGAGTTTATGCTTAACACGCTTACAATGAAAATCTACATGAACATTATTTACACAACAAGTAAAGTGGGATTATAATAATGAAGAATAACTCAGTATCCAGATATTTTAACAAGTTTCATTAAGATACATAGTAATAACCATTGGTTAATTACTTTACTTGTGGGTAGTATAAGTATTTTGAGCTTAATGATAAAAAACAATCAAAGTTGCAAAAATGTTGATATTGGTATCATCTTTGGTTTAAGTTAGAAAGTCGATTAACGTTTATGTGAGTATGCTGTCCGTATGAGTTGATTTCCAATTGCATTTGCATCAGCAGGTTTACTGCAGGAACAAAAGTATAACCACAGGGAGAAAGAATTCCAACTAGTGTTTCAGTTGAAGTTTAATACGGTTTATTTAGTTGCAGGGAGGAGTTTCAAATAACTGTTAAATTCAAATGGCATAGAGATTATGTAATGCAACCAATGTACAAACCAAGTTATTGTATACATTGATGAATATAACAACTAAAAAAGGGACCTGGCAGAAAAGTTGGGACACGACTTATGGAACATGACGGGTATAATATAAAATTCCCATAAGCGGTTGCCGTAGTTAGCCTAGCAACATTCATAAATATGTACTAATGGTAATCAGAACTAGGAAGTACAAAATTTTTGTTCGATTTAATATGGTCTTCCTGAAAATACTTCCTGCCATAAATGAAATAAGGGAATAAAATGTACGAAACAACATTGAAACTCTACGCCATTGTTTAATGATATGTTCGTCAGCTTTTTAAACCAATGAGCACGATTACCATGCGGGCTCCAACCAGATAATCTGCACCTATTAATCATCAATGACCTAAGGGATTGATGCTATATCTTGCTTTGAACACCCACAGCTTTCTCTCGACCTACTTCCAACGCAGTTAATGTTGTGCACAGATGTAGGATGTTAATTGGACATATACAACAGTTGTCCCAGTTCCTTCAATCACTGATTCAGAAGACTGGCTTGCGATCGGAACGTATCAAAACTGAAATGGAGTATAAGAATTAACTATATAGCTTAATTAGAAACCTATGTTTGCTGATAAGTGATGGGGTGAATTAGTAGTTAAATGAATCAACCTGTGAATAATATGTTTGGACCATGCTTATCTATTTCCATCTGTAAAGTTGAGTAGTATCACAAACGTGACCTGAAGTTTATATGGACTAGCAGTTGGACATCTAGTTGTATGAAATTTTACCACTGAGTAAAGGTATGGTTTTGGAGAAGGTATTAGAACAAGATTCGGTCGACACACCTCATTTGACTTAACTCTCTTGTCACATCGAAAACATAGATAGGACATATAAATAATAGTTGTTTAACATAAACAGATCACAAAAAAGAACAAGAAGACAACATCATTAGGACAGTTAGAACACAGGCTTTTTTGGAAATTATATTATAGTAAGGTATAGACCGTACGAAATGAAACAATACAAATTATTGTACGTCCTCGGAAGATAAATGTATTATTTTAGTTCTATCCCAGGATTGGTCTTCAGTCAAAAAACGTTCCTGCAAGTGATTACCACATGATGCTTCTGCCCAACTAAATAATTTTTGCAAGAGACCGCGTGCAAGAAGACCACGTAGCCAAGGGGTGATGGATGATCTGCAGAAATCGGAGTCTGAAGTTTTTGATGTGCTTATATGATCTTTCGGGGAACATTTCATATAGTTGAAATCACTAAAAGCCATCCAACGAGCGTCACTGACTTCATCAGGATTTAGTTTCATTAAGTCTGTATCTGCAAGATTTCGAGCTAGGCAAAATAATAAACGAAAGACATATTTGCGTATAAATGGAAAGGTTGTGTGACATATATGAAAGTACATTTTACAAAACCGGTTATATATATCTCAGGAAGCCAACTTACACAGTTGAATGAAATGTTTTCTACTTTTTAGAAAGTCACACTATTTTAAAGACGTTTTTTTTCCTATCAGTGTTGGAAAACACAGTAGACAATGTGATTATGTAACCTGTTGCATATAACTGAGTAATAAACTGTTTTATCCGGTAGCAAAAAACTGAGAAATGAGGGTACTAATTTTCTTTTCCTAGTTGAGAGGAAGGTGAAATAAGGTAGGACGACTCAAATATACCCTGTGATAAACATAGAGAAATCAATTCGAATAATATCATGTCTAAAATACTAGCCTTCATAATCATTTGATGCTTAATCTGGGCTCGTGTAGAGCAAACTCATGGAAACCGAGCTGGTTAAAGATGTGGGCATGTATTGACTAAGTATTGAAAATTTGTCAAGATCCAAATCAAAGGGATATTTACTGACGCCCAACTATAGTTGTTTTTCGATCTTAAGGCAGTACTCGACTCCGTTGAGCGACAGGTTTTGTGACGATATTTATCAGTAAAAGGTGTACCGAGAAAGTAAATCAGCCTTGCGAAGACCCATCACCCAAACACTATTGATCAGAGCTTATGATAAACTGTCATTGGAATTATAAACCTTAAGTGGTGCGCGTTAAGGTTGCTCACTAAACTATTTATTTAGTTTCGTCATGTCTATATATAAAACGAATTCTTCATTAAACTTTTCAGGGGCTGATCATCCTAGAAATTCATTAAACGACATTGAGTAAGATGACAACCCTATTTGGTGAAGACACAAACACAGTTTGCTTCATATTACTCTATGGGCGTGAAATATAGGCTATAAAAGTAGAAGACATGCGTAGGCTGAATGTTTTTGAAAATAGGTTTCTTCGAAGCATTGCTTGCCTATCGTGGAACGATCGGGTGACCAATGCTCGGGTTAGGTATAGGGCACTAGACAAAAATGACAAATCGGTTGGTGAGGCTGTTAGCCTTCGTCGACTGAGGTGTTTAGGACATGTGTTACGTATGATTACCTCGACGTAATGTTGGTTGGAGTAGTAGACTTAAAGGAAGCTAGAGGTGGCTAAATAAAAATGTGACATCATCTGGCCCTTCTATCCCAAACGCAACAACAGATACAGGAGAAGACAAACAGTGTGGCAGCAGCAATAGGTCTCAATATACACAAAGGGAAAAGCAGGATTCTCCGATACAACACAGAATGCACCAATTCAATCAAAATTGACGGAGAAGATTTGGAAGATGTAAAAACCTTTACATCTTTGGGCAGCATCATTGATGAACAGGGTGGATCTGATGCAGATGTGAAGGCGTGGATCGGCAAAGCAAGAGCAGCATATTTACAACTGAGGAACATCTGGAACTCAAAGCAACTGTCAACCAACACCAAGGTCAGGATTTTCAATACAAATGTCAAGACAGTTCTACTGTATGGGGCAGAAACCTGGAGATAGACATGAGAAAAATGAACAATAATTGGATGGAACTAGAAAAGAAGGCCCAGGATAGAGTGGGTTGGAGAATGCTGGTCAGCGGCCTATGCTCCATTGGGAGTAACAGGCGTAAGTAAGTAAGACATCATTTCGTGAAGTCAATGACTGTTGGTTTGAATCATATTGGTAGGTGCAGACTAGTTGATTGAAAATAACACAATAATTATGATCAGTGGTTATAAGCATTGGGCGATATGGCTCAGTATTGGTCACATTAGAGTAGACCAATTCACTCAATGCTTTCGCTAAGTCTTGAGCCTCAATACAACTTCGTACTTTATATTTATCTAGTGTATCTCTTCTCTTTGAACTGTATCGTCTGATGCTTAGTTTCACTACCACTGATATTTTACTGAATTAAAAGAGCGATACAGAGTCAATGTGAGCTTGCCGAATAATGTGATGATTTACCTGCAATAAGTGGCAAAATGCCTGTTGTATGAGGGCTTATGATATAATTTGACTGTAAAGAGAGTTCAGGACATGATTTATTGGCTGAAACTCAAATTCCGAGTTTAAAGTCATCGCTCAACAGGCTTGAGTACCGTCTCGTATACACCTAAGGAAATGAACTATGCCATCAGTAGTTTCCGGCAGTCATTTTTAAGAATGGTCACCATGTTATTTTTCTAGTATGTGACTTATTAACAAAATTTAGAATCGTGAAACCGGTTTTAACCTTTACTTTATGGTGAGTAGTGACACTGCCCGGCTGTTCAGACAAGAGTAGAGTCTGAATCAGTAACTGGTCGGAAGTGGTGTTATACCCAGCCCGCCAACTTTTAATAAGATTCGATAGTTGTGTTATGTCAACACAACTTAGATGTAAATCTTAGCTCGACGTCTGATTTTGAAGTGATAGATTTTAAATGAGTGTGTCGGAATCAAAAAACCTTAGCAAATTAATACCAGTCAATAGAA